TTTGTAGCCACATCACCTGGGCAACTTGCGGTTATTGCTTTGATTAGGAGCTACCCTGTGCACTCTAGACCTCAATGTGATTGAAATCTTATGGCAGGCCTAAAGAGAGCTGCCTATAAATGAATGCCCATACATCCTAATGAACTTGTGCAACACTGTAAAGAAAAGTGGGGTAAAATTTCTTCACTATGATGTAAAGCTGATAAAGTCATACATAAAAAAATATTTTAAGTCATTCTTGCTACAGGCAGATTTTCTTAATTTTTATAATTTCACTGCATAGAGTCCTATTAAAACTTTGTCATATGAATGCAGATGTGTTCAGGTAGACACATTTGTGAAACATGAGAAAACTGGGGAAAATTGAACACTACATTTGAATTATACTTCAGTGGAATAACATTGAACATTGTCAAAGGAGCTTGCAAAGAAAAGCGTCTGGACTTCTTTAAGTTACTTGAAGACGTTTCACCTCTCATCCGAGAAGCTTCTTCAGTTCTAAGGTCAAATGGTGGAGAGTCCCAGATATAAACCTAGTGGGAGTACCCCCCACAGAGGGACAAAAGGACCCCCTGATGATCCTCTAATCGCCTGAGCCAAGGTGTGAAACTGGGTGTGGGTCCCAATCAGCCAGAGTTTCGGGTGTGTTCATTGTGAAACCTGGCCCCACCTTATCATGCGAATTCCTGAGGTCAGATGGCCCAGGATGTGAGTGGGCGTTAAGGCGTCTGGGAAGGGATCTCAAAACTGGATTATAGATGGCAGAGCAGTTGGTGTCGTAAACCACCGCCTCTGTTCAAAGATGGTCGCTCACAGTGGACATAGATGGCTTCTTTCACTCCTCTTTCAAACCATCTGTCCTCTCTGTCCAAAATGTGAACATTGGCATCCTCGAAAGAGTGTCCTTTATCCTTAAGATGCAGATGGACTGCTGAGTCTTGTCCTGTGGAGGTGGCTCTTCTGTGTTGTGCCATGCGCTTGTGAAGTGGCTGTTTGGTCTCTCCAATGTAGAGGTCTGGGCATTCCTCGCTGCACTGTACAGCATACACCACATTGTTAAGTCTGTGTTTTGGCATTTTGTCTTTCGGGTGAACCAGTTTTTGTCTGAGCGTGTAGCTGGGTCTGAAATACACTGGGATGTCATGCTTGGGCCATCTGACCTCAGGAATTCGCATGATAAGGTGGGGCCAGGTTTCACAATGAACTCACCCGAAACTCTGGCTGATTGGGACCCACACCCAGTTTCACACCTTGGCTCAGGCGATTAGAGGATCATCAGGGGGTCCTTTTGTCCCTCTGTGGGGGGATACTCCCACTAGGTTTATATCTGGGACTCTCCACCATTTGACCTTAGAACTGAAGAAGCTTCTCGGATGAGAGGTGAAACGTCTTCAAGCAACTTAAAGAAGTCCAGACGCTTTTCTTTGCAAGCTCCTTTGACTACGATGACCTGGATGACTGAGAACCTTCACAGACAACATTGAACATTGCAAAATACTCATTTGAAATGTTTGCAACTTTGCTTTACAAAGATCTGTTGCTGAAACAGGCCAACAGTCTCACTGAACCTGATGTGATCTGTAACAAGAATTACAGATCAACTGCAAGGAGGAGGAGGAGCAGTGGGTAGCCATGACATTGCCTTCATTAAGGGCAAAATGACAGGAACAATATTCAGTTTATGTTTGCCAGTGTTATCCACTGATCCACATGACACATTAATAGGCCTTGCAAAAAACAGAACCCCAAGCTGCTCTTCTGCTGCATCTACTCGTCACAAACTGCTGTTAAGGGGTAAGAGCGGTTGTTAGGAGCAACTCCGTTTGTGAAAGTGGATGCAAGTCAACAGGTATACCCCCAGCCAAGGCTGTTAGAAGCTCAGTCATAAATATAGCATAAATAACTAACATAAATATAGCCTGTAGCAAGAACACAGTCTTATTCAATGTAACTTTAAATATGCCAAACGGAACAAAACAGAAGCACACGGCTGACAAGTCACTTATTATTATTATAGATAGTACATTTTAATGACCTACCATTATATCAATTTTTTTTAAAATCACAATGATGGTGATTATAATGACACATAATGAGTCTCAGAACATCTAATGAGACAAAGTGTGTTTAATGAAGGACACTGTCTTTTTCTCTTTATTCTCAAAGACATAGGGTTAGGCATTAGTGGCAGTGTGTTTTATTGCTACCCTCCGGCATGCAGTGGGGCTTTTATGGAAGGTGTCACACTTGAAGCGGACAGTTGAATGACGTGACACACGCAGACAGATGCATACACGCACACACACTCATTCAGCTCACACATATGTCCACCTACACAAACCATCACGCCCAACCAGCTTAGCAGAGTTAGACTCTCTCTTAGTTCAGCCCAGGGTTCCTTTTTTTTTTGCGTGCCCTGATGAATATATCATCGGTCCATTTTGTGGCGAATAACATTTCAGTTCCCACACGCTATGCGGCTCCGCCTTATCACTTTCAGTTAGATGAACATGGGGTTACAGCAGGACTGGTGGAGAATTTAAATACAATGCATGAGATGGAAAACAGAGCGGGAGACAGGGAGCGAACTCTAGAGTGATGGAGAGTGGGTGGTTAAAAGAAAAATACAAGAGAAGAGAGGTGAGACAGATGGGGAGAAAAGGGGAATGAAAGTGCTATCTGTATCTGCCTGATCAGTTTCACTTAAGCTAAACAGGAGCTCGGTTGAATAGGGAATAGCTTGTGTAACAGAGCAAAGAAAGAACGAAGGAAAGACCACTATCTGATACAACCCATGGATGCCTTAGGATGAGCTTGACATGACATGACAGTCATCACTCACCTCTCACTCCGACGTGACCCACCATTATGGACCAGAGGAGGATGGCCACTCACTCAGTGTCAGTCAGGCAAGAGTCTGCAAAGCAGAAAGGAGTAGATGAGCCTTTGTTTTATGATTTTGCAAGTTTCATTAGCGCTGTAAAAATAATCACAGGTTCTAAACTAATGAATATGTGTTAACTCAGTGAGTTATTTTCTGTACATTTATTCTAAGGTGAGCATCTAAAGTGCCAGCTGCCAATACAGCTCAACAATAACCAATTGTTTGTGATGTGAAAATTGGGGGTCTTGTTTGGTATATGCTATAGTGCATCATCTTTGCCACCCATGGGTGAAAAGGAAGAAACTCACAGCTGATACTGATCAGTTTTGGCCCTATTTGGAGTATCAATAGGATCAATCAATAGGAACACTAAAGGTGTCTCATTGTATCAGGTACAAAGAGTAGCACAGCCTTGAAGTCTGGAAAGTGGCAAGGTTAAGCCTCAGGGGAAGTAATGTGTTTTTGAAGCACATGGAACAGATGCCAAGAAAAGGCAGAAAATAGACAAACAACTGAAAGAGGATCAGCAATGTTATTCAATGAACCTGTCAAAGGTTTAAACATTTGGCTGATTGGTGTATTCCTCTTTATGAAGTTTTATGCACCATCTGACCGCTTTTAGAAATTTGATTGCATGTTGTGGTGAAATGTAAACTTTCTTTTCACATAGTTGATTGCTTTTGAAGAGGAGGAGTAAATTGTTAGGCACTGATTGTCATTATTAAGGACACCCTCTGCTCCTGTGCTCCTCTCCTGCCACCTGTGTATGCAGCCTCTGCTGTTTGATAAAGATAACTACCCAAGCACTAGCATGAGACAGCTGTGAACCACAGGAGAGGGAAAAAAACTTTCCTCTTAAGTGCCGATCATCCACAACATTCATCTGCACAAAGCACAGAGCCTAGCTGACATCTCTGCTGCACATTCATGCACTTCACTGTACCCTAGTACAAAAAGACTCACTTTAAAAAACCATGAGGCGCACGCACACACACCCCTACCTACCTACACATCAGCATGCATTCACACAGTCACCATGCCCCAACACAGGTTTAATGGCTTTTCAGTGAACTAGATACAGCTTGACATGTTAACAGTAGGCACATACACACAGACACGCCATCTCACGGTCACCGCGGCTATTCTGCGGATTAAATGTACAGTCTTGACATACAGAAACACAGATTCACTGAGATATGGAAAAAATGCAGATTTGCTTCTGAATTCATGTGAACTGACAGGCCACCCGGTATGTGTTTATATGGCATTCGATGTTCACATATACACATGACCCGTAAGACATGTGCATATGAGTGCATGTATCATTTTAAGAAACAGTCACCAACACAGCAGACTAACAGGTAAGATTTCTGAAATGTACTCAGACAAATTATCATATGGCAACAATTAATGCAATCAACACACTCTGGAGGCGCATATGTGTTTTTGTGTGTGTGTGTGTGGCCATCGAGGGATCACTCGAAATCTACCTTTCTTGCTGACAAGGCTTTGTGTGTCTGCGTGAAAAGTAGGCCAGAGAATGACAACCTCCATTTTTCATTGTCGTTACTTTGGAGACGGAGCAGGAACAGATGCCACACTGGGACACAGAAACACACACACACACACACGCAGAGGCACACTCCAACGTCCCGTGAAAACACAGATTAAAAGTGCCAACATGCAGACCTGAGGTGACCTATTTCAGCTTCAATTAAAATCACTTTGTGTATTTGTATGACCTTTTGAAATTGCAACACCATGCAACTCTGCAAAACACAAAATCAGACCATGTTTTATTGACTTTTTTGTCATCTTGTCCTATATAACATCCTAGAAATGATTACCATGTAAATTATTGAGTACTGTTATAATTGCAGTTCATGAGACGGGATTTTTTAAAGGTTAATACCTACATATATAAATAAATGTTTTTTCTTTCAACTTTTAAATCCATAATGCAACCAAAACGCAGGAAATGCCCAAAATTCAAAAGACTTGTCTGACTCAGGCACAATAAGCATAATAAATGCAAAGAATCATGTAATCTTTATGTGGCACACTCAAAATGCATGGCCACTTTTGTGTTAATTATTTAATTTAATTTGTTTATCAGTTATTTTCTGTGACTATTAATATTCAAAATGACTTTGGTAACATGACCAATTTAACCAGTGTATTATTTTGTCACATGAACTGTACAGAAGGTACAAAAAAAATGGAGCAACACCTCAGGTGGAACTATTATTTCAAGGCAGGTGCAACCCAGTTGCTTTAGGGGGATGGACTTCCGCCCATTTTTCAGATGCAATCTGAGAGGCAAACCGAGTGCACTGTCTTCATTGCTCCTGAACTTTACCTGTATTTGCAGGTTAGTACCTGGTAAAAAAAATACTACCACTGTTTGTTACATAACAATGTTTTATCTCCATGCTAAGTTACAAAGAAGTAAGACAGTACCTGTAACACTTATGGGCACAGCCGCACGTTTGACCCGTGTCAGTGTGAGACAGCGGGGTCAGGCTGTGCAGGCCGCTAGCAGAAACTTCGCGGTAATGTTTGGTTATTGTGGGTCGTTAGCGCCCAGAGCATTGTCTTGTAGGAAGGTCATTCATATAGATTTATTTTCTTTTCATTATGAAGGTTGGTACTCCCGCACACGTTACTATTTTATATAAAGTTTATGCTACAAAGATCTTTTATTGTTAAAGTGTCATTGAGGTTGGAAAAGTATAAAGCTGTTTAATATGTGAGTGTTAATGACATGTGAAATAGAAAGAAGTTGCCCATGTTATGCAAAAGTGAGTTTCATCTTCAGTGTGCTGTAAATGATGTGTGTTTATTTTTGCTCAATTTCAGTATTCAGAACCGGTACAGTTGTCCACTTTAATTTCAACCAGATAAGAGTGTGGTTTGCTTTAAATACAGTTGTATATTGCTGTAAATTCATTGTAGATTACAGTGGCTTTCAATTGCTTAAGCAAGAGCAGGTGTGTACTTTTGTTTTGCTTTGACTGAGCGATCACATGAAGCACATGTAAAATAGTGGAAAGTGTAGAGTGTGAATCCATTTATTTTTCTACTTGTGACTTTGGGAAAATGGACAGATATGGACACTGGGACTGAAAGAGTCATGCACACATGTATATTGTTAATGTTGTTCATGTTTATTGAAACTTGAATAAGAGATGCAATCTGAGAGGCAAACCGAGTGCACTGTCTTCATTGCTCCTGAACTTTACCTGTATTTGCAGGGATTTCTTCTTTGTTATTGTGGCACCATTCCTGGGGCCCGTAACATTTGCTCTTAAATAGCAATATACGTCTAAAACCATCCCCATATATTTTTGTTTGCTTCTTTTGGCTTGTCTTTGTTTTTCCCCCACTCTCGTTAAGATAAATATGTTCAATTAATGTTTGAGATTACAGTGTAATTGTAAGGACCAGAAAAGGAATAATCTCCAGATGGCTGATTTAGAAAATAGCACAATAAAAATCATCCATTCAAACAAACAAAAACTGCTATTTGATTGTGAAATCTACCATTACTAACCTAAATAAAAAGAGAAATGAACTGGATTCAGAGTCAAGAAACTTAAAAAAAAAAAAAAAAAGAAATCCTGGAAAATTACCCACTATATGTCAGCCACATGCCCGATCATTGACATTACAATTCCCTACAGAGGTCAACATTGCAGCTTCTCCTTTCACTGTTTTAACTTTCAGCTATGCACTGGGACTGCTGTTAGATAGTCTTGCTAGGTTTTTGTACAAATAACACCCTATTTACATCATTTTGATCACTTTCAGTAAATATAGAGTACATATCTTGGTAACAATTAGTCTCACTGAACCTGATGTGAATGTAAATGTACTGCATTAAAATGCTGTTATGCTTTTGTTCTAGGTCAGTGTGAGTGCGAGGTATCCTCTTCCATAGATGTGCAATTCATGGTAAGCTAGTCCCAGTGCAGGGAACTCCAGGGTAGGCAAAACAAACTAGAAGAAGTAATTTCCCACAAAGAAAACACAACAAAACTTTGAGTATAACTTACTAGACATGATTATAAATTATCTGTCAACTCTGCTTTCCAAAACTGGCTGATATTAATGGATTTTTCTGCTATTTTCTTTAGTTTCTGTTTTTCAGCACATTATTTATAATATTCTCCTTAGGCATATCCAACACTGTAAGTCTAAACTGAAGTCTAAGATATAAAAAAAATCAGCGGGTATTTTACACATTTGAAACCAATGTGAGACTTACGTTTTTGTTAAATTTACAGTGAACCTCCAGCAAACCTCAAATGCAGTCTCAATTCAATGACTAAGATGTGAGGAAATTCTTTGCCTCTCCGATGTGTTTTCAGTCAGTGCAACAAAACCTCTTAACCCTAAACTCATGTTCAAATATCAGACCAGTGTTATTGCAAAACAGTCCCCAGTCTAACTGGAAGCTATTTTGACACAACACTTCTCCAGCACTGCCACCCAGAGCTGTTGTGTCAGACAGTGACTAAACAGCGTGAAGAGAAAATCACCTTCAAGCGGCAAATTCTGTTCTTTTTGTTTTGTTCATACCCGCCAAGTTTACTTTAAAGTTTTTTGAACTATTTTGCACTTTCAGCCAAAAATACTGCTTAACAATGTGATTTGTTAAGAATAAGCAAATAGCTGTTAGTGGTGTTATTGTAGGTTTGTGTATACTTCTTTAGTGGTAATACACCCGAAGCATTGCTGTAATTATTCAGATGTGATCAGATCTGTGTTTTGTTCTCAGGAGACCAAGGTATTCTCATGTATTTTTAGCACAGTTGTCATATTGGCATAGCATAAGAATGGTAATTAACATTTATTACACAAATACACACAAATTAAGAGACTTTAAAGAAAAATACAGTATACGTGATATGCAGCTGTCACTTCTTATGATCCTGTGAGCCAGGAACTGCATATATTTTTACTTTTTGTGCAATAAGTACCACAATGCTAAAATTATTACTGATTTGACTAGTTGTGCAAACACACACACACACACACACACACACACGTTGAGTAAAATTTTACCCTCCATGTCCCAGCGAATCATTCTTTTTTTTCCTGATTTCAGTTTTGTATTTTAACCTCATCCAACCTTGAGGTCTCCATGCCGTGCTGTCTCAGTTATTGTAATGCAGCCTGGCATAACCTTTTTAAAATAAAGTTTTTAAGGGTGAAGGTACATGGAAGAAAAAATAGTTCTGAGGATTTCAACAGAGGGAGGCTTACCAGACAACAGACAGTAGATGTACAAAGCAAAACTCAAATGAGTTCATTTCAGCTGCAAGATCAAAGTTTCCATCCAATAAATTATATTCCAAAGTCTTATTTGTGCGATTAAGCCTTTTGACAAACTCTTATTCTTGCTTTCATGACTAGACAGACAGACAGAAAGAGAGGCAGACAGGCTTATATAGGTGGTCTTATCTGTCTGTGTCACACTTTTAAACAATTTGACAGTGATTTGTGACAGTGACAGAGTTTTCACAGAAGTTGTTTCTCTGACTTTAGTGAACCATTGCACTGTACTTAAATGAAAAATCTGCCTTAAATTTCAAAGTGCAAGATGTCACATTTTCACTTTATCTAATATAAACTGTAGATGAAAGAGTAAATTACAGCTTTGTGAATATTGAATTTGATCATCTGAACGGTCTTAAAATGTATTAAATATTTTCCAACAGAATTAAATAACTCTCATACAATGCCATTAGGCTACATTTCCACAGTATGAGCAGCTCTGAGACAAGAAGACTTTTAGGGACTTTGTGAAGGTAATTGCTCAGTGAGGCGATCTTGTAAGAACTGCACGCCATTAATGCGTTTCTCATTTTTCATTCACAGAACAGAAACAATAACATCATGTAATAGCCAGCTAGGGGTTTCTATAGCAACAGCCACACTCACTGTGACAAGATGGAGGATGTCATAATCAGAACTGGGAGTTTGTTTGTGTCGTGGATTTCATGATGACAGTGGCGTTAAAAAGGCAGGGTATCACCCGAAAAAGGCGGCCTGTCTGGCAGCTTCAATCAGCAGGAGAAGCAGGAGAGGGCAATTTACTATGTTGCACTATCCACCAACTGCAACACTATGTTGGCCCTAATATGATACATGTGATGGAGATTGAACACTGGAGCTGTGTCAGAGCGCTGTTTCACATTTAGAGTGGCTGTGTGATGATTCCACTGGTAGCGAGGGGAGAGGGAATTTCCTTTGTCTCTTACAGAACACAACAAGCATTTTTAATTTATCACTAACCTACTCGTGACTTTCTCTTCAGCTGATTTTATGGTTAATGCTCTGCCTGGCTATTCTTGGTATCAGACTGCACTTTCAGAGCTGTGTGTGGCACTTCCATACCTAAAATCTCCAGTTATTTGTTCACTGACCCACTCCCAGTGGGGTCAGCAGTGATTACTCTGAGCAGGTTCTCTTAGATGACGGGAATCTCTTTCTGCATGATTTCTCTAGCACCACTGACTAAACAACAGGGATTCCTGTCCCAGCCAGGCTTCCAAGAAATGTGGAATATTTCTAGACAACCAGCTGTTGTTGTGACACTCATGCTGTAGCTAAATCCTGGTCCTGCAGATCTGCACTCCACAAAAGCTGTCAAATCAGACGCTTTCTCACCACGAATGCTGCCAGACTCAAGCTTTAGGGGTGTGCTCATAGCTAAATAAATACCATTTCATTTGGTTGAAATTGCCAGCGCCACGTTTTGTGCATTAAAATCAAAAGGGGGCAGCTTGAAGGTGGGCATTCACCAACTTTAAAGATATATCATGTTCAGGGCACAAAAAGAAAATAGAGAAAGAAGTAGTGCAAAAGTGATGTTTTGGTGATTTGAGAATAGTCCATAAGTAGCCTACTGTTTGCTGACTAAGATAAACTGAAACACAGCAGCTTTTCATTATCAGCACAAAATGAGGTTGAAACAGCACTTTTACTACTATAAAAGCAGAATAGGGGAATGTGTGCCCTTAGACATTTCCCATCTGGTCTACTTAATTTCTCTCCCATATGCCTCACACTTTACTGTAGCCTGCATTTAACTGGAAAGCCAGATATTTGCATATGAAGCTCAAAGTGATTTAATACATTTTTAAATAAATCCATCCTTGAGGAAATAACTGGACAGAGAACTGGGGAGCGTTTCACTACAATCTATGATTTAAAGCAGAGGATGGCCATCAGGCTTCCTGGACGTTTGGTACTAAAATCCTTGTGTGTATTTTCTGTTGGTTCAAGGTCCTTTAAATACAATTTTTAAAAAACTGTCATGGCAATTGAATGCTGCTGGTTTTCTTTTACTAACTTTTTATGATAAGCTGAGGTAATTTTCTACATGCTCCATCTCCACACTTAACACTCAGTTATGAGGCTGACAGAAGTGTGTTTCCAGAAAGACAGACATTTTAAGCAATTTTCAACTTAATTCAATTCAATTTTATTTATATAGCGCCAAATCACAACCCAAGCCGCCTCAAGGCACTTCATAGATACAGAGAAAAACCCAACAATCATATGACCCCCTATGAGCAAGCACTTTGGCGACAGTGGGAAGGAAAAACTCCCTTTTAACAGGAAGAAACCTCCGGCAGAACCAGGCTCAGGGAGGGGCGGGGCCATCTGCTGCGACCGGTTGGGGTGAGAGAAGGAAGACAGGATAAAAGACCTGCAGTGGAAGAGAGACAGAGGTTAATAACAGATATTAGTGGAAGCTAATTTGTATTTTGGTGCCCTGTAATTGTCAGACAGGCTGTTGAAACTGCATGGTATACTTAGAGTAAGAGTCGTTTGTCTGTGGTTTTTTCTTTTAAAAACCAACACTTTATTTGAGCCATAGGATTTAGTTCACTGACTCAAGCACTTGAAAAAAAAATGAAACAGACTTTAAAGAGGGCTACATTTCTGAGCCCTACATGTTATGAATATGTAGCGTCATGAGGTGAAAGAGACACCTCTTAAACTGTAGTGTGTTTGACAAGGCGATCGTTCCATGAGGCTAAGTGTATGCATTTATACTGCACATGCACAAACTTGGCCATACCTTTAACTGCAAGCAGTTTGATAAAGGATTGTCTGTGTAAAAAGCAAATGAATAAACTTGAAGGAAAGTCATATAAAGAAACACAACTAAACTGCAGCGGAATAAATTGAACAAAGTAGAAAATCTTGAAATACCACACTGAAATTCACACTCTGAACAGATTAATCTTCACAAAAACTTCAGCTTTTTAAAACTTTATTATGTGG